AATTTTAATTCACAACAAAAAATATTATTATTCAAACCTCCAATAAAAAAAAATGTTCTTTTGAATAATTTTTTTTAATTCAACGCAACAATTATTATACATTATACGTTATTTCACATTTCCATTAAAACACTTCCAATAAAACAAACGTTCTTTTGAATAAAAACATATTCTTCTTTAAAAGTCCACCGCTCCAAAATTGAACAATATCGTCTAGAACTAGACTAGAAGGCGTTGAAGAAATTCAAACCACTTGCTTTAACACGTTGACGCCACATGAACTCACACATATTAGAATCGAGCATACGTCTGTGTGTGCCATCGTGGCGCTTGTTTCTCTCTTTTTCCGATTTCCCCGTACGTTCGATACGTTGAGTATTGTCCCCCGAGTTCGGATACACAAAGTTAACGGAATGATTGACCGTTCGATGAGTCAATCATCCCAGAGTGGTGCCAATTGCATTATATGCTCTCCACTGATCTGACATGACTGTTGTGCTGTGATAATCGGCATAAGTTTAGCTGCTGATCTATCTTGTACACAGAACATGAAACACTCACTTGTCTCGCGACATATGCCTCCAAAGACCCATTGTTCTGGCAAAACTCGTCCAACGTGATTTTTTTTTCTGCGCGTAAACAGACTCTCGTCGATTTCAACTGTAGCATTACGTCCTCCAATAATAACATGATTTTGTTTAAGTGTATTAGCAAATACCCCCCTCCCTTTAGGTAATTATTCATTATTCCAATCGATAACAGCTTGCTGTGAAATGTCCAATTCACATTCGCAAAATTTGATGCTTGTCATCTCTTTCGACCAGCAGTAAATGAAAAAGAATGATATGCCTATAAGTAAGACGTGATCCCTGTAGCCAAGTACCCTGCCGAATCGGGATATCGTGCCTGCAGTTAGTGTAATGGCATCTCCAACGATCCTGTCGACGGTTATTCAAGAATAAAATCATTATAGGGTTGTTAGCACATCGTCTGACAGCATGTATAATACCATGTTGTAGAAACAAGATACTACTGGCTTTATCCTGAACTAATACAGAAATTGTCACAAAATTCATGGCGTCGACATACGTTTAAGGTTAAGCAGTTGTATTAAACCGGATATATCTGCATAGAATAGAAGTAATGATAATTTTTGCGATATAATATATGTGTGTACTGTAATTGCATTCACTGGGCCCAAATTTAAAAAAAAACGCAACCGAGACTCAGACTGCGCGGTGTTCTCTCTCGTCTTTGATGTTCTCGGATATTTTAGGGATATTAAGTCGCTACGCTCAATTATGCACTCGTCACTAATTTTGTTTATTTTATTGGCAGTAAAAAAAAATCACAACGATCAATCTGCACGTAATAATATGTAAAACAAAAAGTTCAACATCAATGAAAATTGGGTGAATAACGCACGTTCATTGGTTGATATTTCTCAACAAACATCATTGAATTAGTAAATCGTATAGAACCGGTATTAATAGGATATGTACTCGCCCTCTGTTCATATTATTGTAAGGACGAATCCTTTATTTATCCAAATAAAATGCACATTTTTTAATGAAGACATACATTTACTAGTGATTTTAAAGAAGCAATTAACATTTTAACACTTATTAATAATATAACAGCCTCAACAGTATTCTGCAAAATTAGAATCAACAGAATAAGTAACGTCACACAATGAGGCTCATTGGTGCAAATTATTACGGTAGTAATATTCAGGGCCGTCTTTATTGCAGGGGAGGCCCTGGGCACAGTAATGCATTGAGGTCCCTAACCCTCTATAAACTCTATATACTCAAGGCCGTGCGAAGGAGGAGGAGGCGAGAGGCCTCGGAGAGGGCCAATCAACCCTGGCGCCAATATCAGGGGGCAGCATTATTGTCTTAAATAGGCCATTAAAATTAAAAGTGAATTAAGCGATAAAATCCCTTGGACTTCCCATAGACTGGGGCTGAAAAATCTTCCCACTAGTGTCCCTGGGCACCGCTTTTCCTGGGAACGGGCTTCTATAGCCCAATATTCAAGTAATGTTATAAAAAGTATTTGGCCTATGCATTTTAACCAGTTTCTTTAAGTTAATTTTTCCGCGGGGGAAATATTTCATAGATTTATTTACATGTGATTTATCTGAGGGAAAATGAAAGAGCATGAATTTCCAAAAATATTTTTTTTAAATTCAGTAACTTTTAAAGTTAATTTGAAATTTCGAACTACTATAAATTTCTTAACTTTAGTTACTAAATAATGAACGTTTGGTGCCTTTTGTAACACTCTTTCCTTTACTCCTCCCCCAACCCCACCCAAGAACATAATTAATTGATTTTCTTTATAAAAATTGATAATTTATGAAAATTAACTTTTTCTTCTTTTTCTACATCATGAGGGTCCATGATAAATGTACCAGTATTGATCATTCTGGCACCTATTCCTATTAATCATAATTTAGAGTGGATTTGCGATGTTTACCTGCCTGGTATTGAATATGATATTTCACTGGTTGCAAGGGTCTCTCAGTGAGGGTATCAGTATCAGTATCAGGAACTGGGGGTGGGAAGGCTTGAGGCAATAGATGCAAATGTGTCAAGTGTTGTGGCCTCAACTGTTCCTTTTGAAAACTTGTTCCAGCCACTAATTGTCTTTGGCAGGAATGAGCAGTTCCTGTATCGGTACTGAGTCCTTGAGCCAGAATTGCCTGTCATGGCCTCGTCGCTGTCGGGGGGGGGGGGGGGGGGGGAAGAGACACGAGTTTCTGTTTTATGTTGGAGCAGTGGACCAGCCCATTTTTTATCTTGTACATTATGGAGAGCCTAGATAATCGTCGACTTTCCTCCAATGGTGTAGCGGTTCCTGTGCTGCCCGTCGCTGGACCACCTTCAAGTTCAAGCTGTGGATGCTCTTCTGGGTGAATGGATCCCAGACTGAAGATGCATAATCTAAAAGCGGTGGGACAAAGGCTTTATAGGCTTTTTCTTTCCCACTGGAGTGGCATTTCTTTAGATTTCACCTTCAGTACCGGTACCCTAAGAGTACTTCAAGATCATTATCAGGTATCACATCTTTCACTTCAAGATCATTATCTGGTATCACATCTTTCACTTCAAGATCATTATCTGGTATCACATCTTTCACTTCAAGATCATTATCTGGTATCACAACTTTCACTTCAATATCATTATCTGGTATCACATCTTTCACTTCAAGATCATTATCTGGTAAACATCTTTAATTTCAAGATCATTATCTGGTATCAGATTTTTAACTTCAAATACTTCAAGATCAATTTCCCTTGACAATTCTCCAAGCTTTGAAACATTAAAATGTCCCTGGACTAATCATATAGAGGTCCGAAAGACAAAAAAATTTATTGAAAAACAACAAATTGAATTGAAATTGTATTTCAAGTTTAAAAATTATTATTTAAAAAAAAATGTTTTTGAAATCAAGATCAAGGTGCAATCTAATTCTGAAATTGAAAATAATTCTTGTTTTAATTAATGAATTTTAATCACATAAAATCCATTTTATGTCTAATAAGTTTTTTTTTAAATAACTCAAAAAAAACCCTTTAAATGTCCATCTTTATTTAGTAAATTTTGTCAAAGTATTTAAGGCACTGTACTTTGTACTTAGCACACCAGTAACTAAAGCACTTTAGCATGAATGAAGCTCAAGTATATAATATGACCCAGCGAATACACGTTCAAGGTGAATATTTTTAAATAAACACAAATACTTAGAAAAACAGTAATGATAGAAGTTTTTAGCCACTTGAATTCCTTCTAAAATAATACAAAACACATAGGAGGTAAAGATGAAGTATCCGGATATTTTGTTTTACAAGATTTAACAAATTTACTTTGGCTCCTTATAAAAACAAAACTTAACATAGGACTGGAGAAAAACAACTGATGCCGAATTTGCAGAAAAATAGTTTATTACTGGTACTGTCAAAAGCCCATGCAATATATGTATGAGCCTTAATTTTTTAACACACTCCTATCAATCTGGAACCTTAATGCATACCAAAAGTCCTGCTTTGCTTTCTTTAGCCTTCAGTATGACATAAAGAAGATGGCAAAAAGATTTTTCATTTTGCAACACAAAATACATGTACCGGTTTTGTACCCGTATTTGGGAAAAATAGTTGTGTAAAAAGGAATGCAAAGGTTTATCTTTTTCTATTTGACTAGATAGATAACATCATTAAATCATAGCATATTAAAAATTAAAAATGTGAAAATATTGTGACACACCATATGATATATATGATATAGTGGAGTGATGACCGTGAAAGAAGGTTGCTGAGCTCTGCCCTAAAGTATGAGTGCCCAACTGTCACTCAGACTGATAATAAGTTGAAAGTGATTCCAAACTAAAATTTGTATGGATTAATAAGAAATTCAATAACATCAAAAGTTTTATAAACATATATGGAGACAATAACCCACATAAATTAATAATATTAATTTCGGACTTTGCTTTGATCAAGTTCTTTAATTAATTCAATTATCTTAGTTTAACTTGTGATCAATTTACTTTAAATTCAATACTTGAATTAAGTTATATATAAAAAAAATATTTCTAGGATTTGTTGTACCAGAATAGTTCCCAAATATACTTGCTCCAGCAAGGGCTTTTTAGCTTAAAGGTACCATATAAGTCACCTTTTATTTTATTGGTTCTCACTTATTGGACTGTTTTTTTTACATTTTTGTTTCACATTTTATAAGTATCTGTGTAAAAAAAAATATTTTAATAAAATTTAATACAAAATCTAAAATCAGCTTTTAATAATAAGTCTTATTGATTTGTTCAAATAAAGAAAGGTTCTTAATTAATAATCAATTAAAAATAAAAGGGATTACAACAACTAAAGTTTAACATCATTGTCTGACATGAAATTATATTTCTTATCAAGGGGATGAAACATAAAAGCTAAGCCTCCAGTTGACCATGCTGTTCCAGTACACTGGCAACAACTTCCTCTATATCTTCAACATTGCCTGGATCTGTATCTGTCATTAAAATCATCAATTTATGAACATTACAATGGAAAGATGTCAACTTGTCAGTCTGTATGGAAGCTCGTGGTCGTCCATTATTGGCTGAAGATAGAAATAAATTTAAAGATCAAATTGATGTTTGAGTGAATGAGCTTGAAACAATTAAACATTTTAAGATATTGGACAAAAGCCATATTATTTATTGTTGAAGTGAAAAGCCTTATTATTTATTGTCAAAGTACAACAAATGTGAAAAGCCATAGTATTTATTGTCAAAATGTAAAGCCATATTATTTATTTGTTTTGTTAAAAAGGCTACTAATCATATTATTATAATTATTGTAACTGCTCTCCATAGTTATAGGAACATGAGTATTCAGTCAAGAATATGGAATTGACATGCAGACATCCAACAGGACTTCCATTGAACTGTGTCTTTTCTTTGATCCCAAGTGTTCACATGGAAAAGTGAACTGAGCAAAAAACATCAGCTATTATGTTGGAATGAAAGTTTGGTCTCTCCCAATTATTAATTATACCTATTGCCCTATAACACTAATTTCTTAAAACTCTTTACATTGGTCAGCTAACCTCTTGAAATTTGTGCTGATTGCCGTTGATTAGTTGAACTCAGGTTGGGAACACATTGTTTTTTATTTTTAATAATGGATGTCAAAATACTTCGAGCAACATCTTGTGTATCTGAAACTTTTTTAGCAGTGGGTTTTGTTCTCTTTGGCGTCGGCTGTTGCACAACATTGTCCCTTAATACACACAGAGATAATTATTAGAATATTTGCCTATAATTTTGTGAAAAAAAAATTATACACTGTAACTTATGCAATGATCGCATTTTTATTTTATGTGAATTTTGTGATTTAGTTATTTTATCATAATAAAGACAGGCTACAAAGATGCATCTCAGCATCATATTTGGTGTTATTTAAAAAAAATTATGCACTAATGAAGTATGAAGTTAAATAAGTTTCAACTCACCCAGATAAAGAAGTTATATGTACTTGCAGTGGACCACTGGAAACATTCTGATTAAGATCATATGTTAAACACAAATATCCATCATTTAAATTTATAGAAATTTAATTTTGAATGGCACAATAAATTGTAGAATATGTATCTTTGTTTACCACCGTATTTACTCTCATACAGGTCTTACAATTGGATAGGTCACACCCTTAGTTTGGGGAGTTCTTCTTCAATTTCAATATCAACTCATAGTGGAGCATATGCAATTGACAATTTCTTCCCAAGCCTCCCAGTCTCTAGCTATCCTCTCTAACTCTTTCCAGTTTTTTCAGTCTTTGTGTTTGATACAACTTTGTTGACACAACCTTTTCTAGTGTTTTTGGGTCTTCCACATCCCCTTAACCCTTAGGGGCTCCATACCAGTGCTTGTCTTGGTATATTTGGCATGGCTTTTCTCATGTTACTGGTACCCGGTACTGTATTACTTACCCATCACCACCTTCTTTTCCTGATTTCTTTCTTCACTGTGATTTGTGCTGTCATTTCCATCACTGTTGTGTTTGGAATTTTGTGTACGGTAACCAGTTGATGTTTAGGACCAATCTTTCTTTGTTGATCTCCAGCTTTCTGAGCCATACAGAACAGACTAAAAAAGTTTGTGTAAAAGTTCCAATTTTTGTCTTCCTCCTTATTTGCCTAGAGTTCCAATTATATTTAAGTAAGGTAAAAGCTCCTCTTGCCTAGATATCTGCCTCTGATTCCTTATCATTACTAACTATACTTTCCAAAATGTAAAATTATATAATTCTCCTATTGCTTTCCTTCTTGTTAATACAGCTCATGTGCTACCAGTATATGAATTGTGACAACAAAACTTAGTTATGAGAATAAATTCACTTAATTTGGGGAGTTACACAGCCCTTTTTTTTCAATCTTAGTTTAAGTAATGGTTTTAAAAATACAGACATCACAAAAACGTTTCCATAATAACTTGGAAACTGAAAAGCGATCCACATAAATTACATGATGTTAATAAACATTAAAATCAACTCACTGATTTCTGCTCGAGTATAAGAGAGAGAGAAAACAATTCTTCTAAATTTTGTATTTATTTATTTATTTAGGCATTTTTTTATAGTGCTTACCTTACATCTCTAAGCGCTTTACAATTATTAAAAATATGTGAAGTATTTAGACTGCCAAAAAAAACCCACTGTGTCTAGGGTTTATGTTGTATACATAACTGCACACTGAATAGATGAGCAAATTGTGTTGGTTGCCATGGCATGGCATTTCCTTATCCAGATTGGGGCAGCCCTGTTCAGGAGAGATCTTCGATAATCGCTTCAGTTCTAAAATCATGTCTTGCCCCTGATTATTATCGAAATTTTGGGTAAAAAAGTGTGACCTATACGTGAGTATATACGGTAGTTACCATTGATTCAAATCTCTGTTTAATATATTTCCTTATTTAATATTTTTCAATAATTAGATTATAAAATAATTTTAATATTTAAAAACTACAGTATTGCTCAGCGGTAAATAATAACTCTCTTCTGTGACAAATTCCTATAGCAAACATTATTTGTAAATTCAAGCTTTGTTCCAAAAAATGTTTTCTTTATTATTATTAATATTATTATGAATCTGTTGAGGAAAACATCATTTCCTACCGTTCTCTTTCTTGTTATTTGCCTTGAAATGAAAAGAGAAAAAGTTTTTTTTAAAAGTTTGACCAATTTGTAGAGACAGATTCACAGGAAGGCGACTGTCTGCTGTTTTTTGTTTTGCTTTGTTTGTTTGTTTTAATTTGGGGGGGGGGAGAGGGGTGTAGAGAGAGAGAGATAGATCACATGAAGGAAAGGCAGACATGAATTTTTAAAATTTAAAATAAAATTTGTCTCAAGACCTTCCACCCCTTGCCAACACACAACATTGACTCAAGACCCTCCACCCCTAGATAACACACACCCACTACGATCCAGCTTCTTTGATATCTGATCATGCAAAAGATGTCCAGTATGTGGTATAAAAACGTATAATATTTATAACAAATTTGTCCTGGAGCATACTTTGCTAAAATAATGTATAGTGATTCACTGTGTCTAGGGTTTATGTTCCTTCCATATTTCACTGTAAATAATTATGTACCGGGCAATGACAATTAGGTTATTTTACCATATCTTTTATTATTATACAGTGAAACCTGGAAATATGCCCTTGGATGGACAGATTTCTTAGCAACATTCACAAATATTGTCATACAAAAAATGTTCAAGGTGTTCTGTAGGACAAAAAAAAAAAAAAAAAACACATGGTTTTCCCAATGACAATTAGGTTATTTTACCATATCTTTTATTATTATACAGTGAAACCTGGAAATATGCCCTTGGATGGACAGATTTCTTAGCAACATTCAAAAATATTGTCAAACAAAAAATGTTCAAGGTGTTCTGTAGGAAAAAAAAAAAAAAAAAAACACATGGTTTTCCTGGAAATGGCAGATACTATGCCGAGCTGGAACCAAATTACACTATGCACAGGGAGTGATGCAGACCTTTTGCTTTGCCAATCAGTCTACTTCCACGCACTGTGTTTCTAAATTCATCCCATCCTTGTGGCACTACAGCCCATGTAGGGCATTGGTCTGCTTCACCACATCCTTCCACGCAGACCTAACTGATACTTTTCTTTTTCATGCTTGGATTACCAGCTGCAGTAGATCATTTTCCACATCATCTATCCATCTAAGCCTAGGTCTGCCTTTGAGCCTTTTTCTTCTGGGGTTTCAGTGGTGTACATTCTTCACTCCTCTGTCATTTTGCATTCTTTTTAATTGTCCCACCCAGCATAGCCTGCCTTTTTTTTATTTATGCTACTAGCGTGGGATCCTAATATAGACTATACAATTCCTGGTTGGTTTGTATTCTCCATCCATATTCATCCTGTGTTGGTCCACGTATTTCCGGAGAACTTTTCTCTCCCATGTGATTAATAGGTTTTCTGCTACATTTATAGGGTTCAACTTTCACTTGCGTATGTTACAACCAGTCTGATTACAGTTTATATATAGTTTTCTTTGTTTTTCTTGCAATGTTTTTACTTTTAAGTATAATTCTGACTACTGAAGTATTCCCTGTTTCCGGCTGATAGTCTTTCTTTTATTTCCGTAAGTAATTCATTTCTTTCATTTATTATTATTAAGAATCCTAGGTATTTGAATTGATTTACTTTTTCAAAAGTATGGTTTTTAATCTTAAGGGTTTCATCTTCTGTTCTTCTCTTATCATAGTCATGTATTTTGTTTTTTGGTTGTTAACTTCCAGCCTTGATTGTAGTGATGCATCTTCTAATTCAATAACTTTTGAAATGTCTTTACTACTTTTCCCCAGCAGTACTATGTCATCAGCATATGTAAGATACTGAAGGGGTTGGTTGTTGAGAGTGCCTATTGGTTGTGGGATTTGGGTCTCTCTCAGAAAGTATCCTGTTATTGTTCCCCGGGAATCAATATGTTATTTTCTTATAACTCTCTCTGTTACGAACAAAGTTAGGTTAAATAGCATTCAGTGAGTCTCCTTGTCTTAGGCCTCGTCTAATCTGAAATTCCCTTGAATATTCTATCTGAAATTTGATTTTGCTTTTTGAGTTGTTTAATGTTACATGTATCAGTCTTGTTAGATTGTTGGGTATGCCAAACTCATGCAAAGTCTCATATAGATATTTTCTTTTGATGCTGTCATAAGCCATTTTATAGTTCACATAGAGTTGATGTACTGCTTTTAAAATGACCATGAAGCAAATTTGTTGTCAGATTCACTATGAGATTGAGGGCTGTGATGTGATTAACATTTATTATAGAGTGCACATTTTGCCAATGCATAGTGAAGGCAAGATGACTGAAATGGCGACAGTACATATATGAGCCTACATATCTGGATGTTCATAACAGATGCGTCAAAATCTGTTGGCTACATGTAGTTTTAAATGAATTGCATAAAAAATGTTTAACCACAAAAAAATCTTGTTTAATTTCATAATTGTTCTGTGGTTACTATACATACATTTAGATGTATGCACTTTCTGTTGTTTTCTAATTTTAAAAAAAAAATATTTTCAATGGGTATTTCTTTCTAATTATTGTGCATGACCATCATTCTTTGCTGCACTTTCAAGTAGCATCATCCTAAACTAAAAGTTCTTAATCTATGGTGTTAGACAGGAGATGCTTAACATCTTCACCTGAGGCCTACACACTTGATGATGCTCAACACCTACACAATTTACAGTATTTGGTAACTTTTTAAGTATAACATAGGCCTACTGTCAATAATTAATTCACTCTTGAATCCCAGTTTAATGTTTTCTTCTAATAGTCTACACATACCTTTTTTATGAATAAATCTCGGCACTGTTCATATCAGAAAAACAATGTGAAAATTTTAGACCTGTATTAAAATCTCTTTCCTTTGAGATCCTCTATTGAAAATGTGTTAAGTGTATGAATTTTATAATACAGAACAACAGTTTTCAACCAGTGAGTCAGAAGATGTTCACAGATGTGTTTTTGATATTTTATAACAAAGAATGTAACAATTTGTACATTTTACCTTCAAAAATTTTTAGGTCATTTGAGCTAAGATGGCACATATTATATCCATCCAATGGAGCTCTATACTAATAGGCTTGAAACATTCATATCACTGACAAATCTAATTTTATTTCTTAATACTTATATGGCGTGTTGGAGAATAGTAATCATAACTTTTAGTGTCTGAATCTAAAAAAGGCTAAGGCCTATAAAAAATTTCAGTTTATCAATTTTTTTAAACATTAAGTAATTGCCACCTATACTATAAATGGACAGTTAGAATGATAAGGTGAGTGGGAATAAAGTTGGTGAAGTTTATGGAAACATGTGGGGTTAGAAGAATGAAGGCTGGTGAGTGAGGTGTAAAGAGCATGATGTAGCCATGTGGCTGTGGGGAGGATGAACGGGGTGAGAAAGTCTAAAGCCTGGAAAATAATAGTTGGGGTAGGGGATGTTGGTAAAAGTTAG